TGTGTTTTTTATAAATAAATCTTTTTCTATTTAACTTTCAAAAAGGTCTCTATCATTCCTCAATCTATCATTTAATTCTTTGTGATAATTCTAGCATCTTTAACATCTGGTTACTACAGAAAAGCCTCATATCAAACAGTCATTTTGGGAGCCAGGGAAAAGCAGTGTTGGCAGGAGTGGGAAAAGTTTACCTCAAATACTCATTTAAAAATCCTAAAACTACTTAGGTTGTTGGCAGCTTTAATCCGCAAGAAAGCTTAAAGACAAGCAGTGTTCACTCTACCAATACACATATCTAACATCATCTCGCTACCATATTGAGGGCACTGGGGTGGGATTTTTGAAGAAAAGGAAAATCTTTGGGGAAGATCCATCCTGCCCAGACATATTATCAATACCCCTCCAGCCTCGCGTCACTGGTTGTGACACATTCCTTTATAATGGTGTCCAGTGGTGTGATATATATAATCCTTTACAGTGTTGTTCAGCTATGGGATATATAGCGTATTTATTATAATTGGTGCCAGTGGCGAGATTGAATATAGGTCCTTCGTTATAGTGGTGGTAAGCGGCGTGAATTATGATAGTAGTATATTATACGGTCCCCTATTTCTCCATCAGAAGAAAAGGGAAGAAAGGGCTGAAAGGTGTGTGTGCTTATTACCTTCTGGGTCATGTTGGACTGAGACAGGTTGTTGAAGATAAAGGCAATCTTTTCCTGCACGTTTTCGGGGGGCTCGACAATCCTCTCCGTCTGATCGGTGGCCACCAGCAGAGTGTCGATGTTGGTTGTATTGATGGAAGGCTGCAGAAGGGCAACAGCAGATTAGAATAACAACACAAACGCCATCTATTTCGAGCCTGGAAGTGCTCCAGAACAAAGTTGCATCAATATCACCTACACAAGGGACGAAATACACCCCCCCCCCAGGTTTTCCTTTCAGTCGTGCACTTACCGGCACGTCCTTCTTGAAGCTGACCCGTCCCACGGGGGTGATGGTGGTCTTGGCCGCCGTGGTGGTGGTGGTGGAGGTGGTGACGATGGTGCTGACCTGGCCGGCCAGCGGGGCTTTGGCCGGAGCTTGGGCCTGAGCCTGGGCTTGGGCCAGTGCAATGCTCCCCGGGGTGGTGATGGAGCCCTGCATCTTCACCGGAGGGTCTCTGGATTGTTGCCCGTATTCAATGTACTACGAGAGGCAAGAGGGGAGGCGTATTGGGACACTTCGGGGACCGAAAGGCACGTCATGCAAAGGAAAGTCCCACCCGCCCCAGAACAAGGCATTTGTGGGAATCCCCACCCGTCACAACCCATCTGCCATGTTGAGGTGACATCTTCTGCTGTCAAGAATGTAATGACTGCATGTTGCTTAAGTCACATTGACCGACCGTCTGCACAGGATTCCATATTTCTCACTTTAACAACACAACCGTTCAATGTTAAGGCTTTCCGCTAAAATGGAACTGTAGAGGAGAGTCTACTAAACAAGCCAGTACTGCCATCTGTTGAGGAGTTACGAAGGTGGAGGCATTACTTTTCATTCAATCCTCATATAAACCCCACTTGCCTAGGTTCCAACAGACCTCAACACCTCTGAGGATGCCTGCCATAGATGTGGGCGAAACATCAGGAGAGAATGCTGCTAGAGCATGGCCAGACAGCCCAGAAAACTCACAGCAACCCAGTGATTCTTCGACAACACAGAGATGTAAAAGGTATGGAAGTCAGAGCACTAGTAATACACGCCAACCCGCTGCTGACCCTCTTGCATGGCCCCCCAGCACAGAAAATCCAAGTTAACATTGCTTTTAGTGTTTGGACAACAGCCGTTTGAAGTAGACCTCCAGGGTCCTGATTCGATTGTGCTCAAGGAGGTCTGGGGGGCAGACAAGAGTGCGGCTGCGGCACAACCCAACTCCATAAACAAAGCTTTTGGCAAAGAACGCAATGCGTGTTGGGGCCAAGGATTTTAGTCTGCTCAGGGTGATCTATCCTTTCGTGCCCCAAGGGTCCCCCCAAAGTTCCGCACCACGAAAGGTAACCTCCCCACTGCTCCCCTCCACGGCTTTTCACACTCACCTCCTGCAGGTGATGAGGGAACTGTATAAAGTGACTAATAGAAGCCAAGTGCTGACAATACTGAGGATAGTCCTTCAATCTGTCAATGGCAAAACTATCCATTAGTAGGAGGAAACAAAACAGCACTGTCAAGACCATCACCATTACCACCACCACAACAACACAATGAAAGCTGTGCTTCCAGATCAGGTATGGGCAAACTTGGGGCCCTCCAGGTGTTTTGGACTGCAACTCCCACCATTCCTAACAGCCTCAGGCCCTTTCCTTTTCTCCCCCCACAGCTGCATGCATGCGCTGTAATGGCTTCTCCTTTTATTAAGGATTTCTAAGTTGTTTTCAGTTTTATTTTATTTTTTATTATTGATGGTCACACCTTGTATGGTGAGGAGTTTTGTTGCCAAATTTGGTGGATATTGGCCCAGCAGTTCTTTTGTTTTTAAGCCACTAATTACGACATGAGCATTTTTATATATATAGATGTATGTATATATGTGTGTGTGTGTATATATAAATACACACACACACACACACACACACACACACACATACATATATACATATTTGTTCAAGTGGAGGTACAGTTCAAAGATTCCCTTCCATGAATTAATTTCTGGAAAGATTATGAAAAAAGAAGGCACTCACCTATTTTTAAACCTATCTAGTGCAGCGATCCCAAAATAGTACATTTTGGAGGTAAAAGGCTTTCGTAAGGCTTCGAGAACATAGCGCAAGGCCAGGCCGAGGGCCATGTACGTGACCAGTCCTTTCTCGATGATCCCGCCAAAGAGGCAGGCGGTGATGTGGAGCTCCTTATCGGGGTACTGGGGGAAAAAGCGGTACTCCTCAAACAAGTTCCTCAGCATACAGTTGAACACTTCGCGCTCCCGTTTAATGGTGGAGTCCTTAAACCTCTGGAGCATTTCTAACACCTGCAAAGAAACCAGAAGGTTAGGAAGAGACACAGCCCCCCCCCCCCCCAGCTTGCTAGGGGGAAAAGGGAAAGGGCCTGAGGCTGTTAGGAATGGTGGGAGTTGCAGTCCAAAACATCAAGAGGGCCTAAGTTTGCCCAGGCCTGCACTAGATGATTTTACGCCTTTACATATCACACCATTCATTTCCAAATGTCTTCCTCCATATTCCACAAAATGTAAACTTCAATGCACGCTAAAGAAAGGCATGTTTCCCAGCATGGTCAGCTGTGAATCACACATTTGGTATATGTGTGAATTCACAGGTGACCACTCAGGAAACTACCTGCAGTGCAGGCCAACAATTAGTGGCCCATTGTTCTGCTTCCTGTTTACCCTATATAAGCCAGGGCCTGAACTCAAAGGTCAGTTGTGTGCTCCCACAGAAGTTGAGGAAGCAAGAAGCCATCTTGTTCCCTTCTGCTTCAGGATAAGCCTTGTCTTAGAGGGCACTAGAAATCTGAGTAAGTGTTTAAAATTAGCTGCTTTGAGTGTTGATTTGTTTGCTTCTTTGAGTGTTAGCTGCTTTGAGTGTTGCTTTGCTAGAGGGCACTAGAAATCTGAGTAAGTGTTTAAAATTAGCTGCTTGAGTGTTGATTTGTTTGAGAGGTGGGGCAAGGCTACATTTTTTTAGCCAGCAGTGCAGGCCAGCAATTAGTGGCCCATTGTTCTGCTTCCTGTTTACCCTATATAAGCCTATATAACTACGGTTACAGGTAAGCAACCCATATATCCCATTTATCCCCTTCAGCGTTTAAAAGTGCCGCAAACGGAACATCCTTGAATATGCTGAATCAGGGAGGAAGAAGGAAAACACACCAGAGGAACAAACCAAAGAAACGCAGGATGTTCCCCAAAACAGGAATGCTATGTACACATGCCTCTTGGGTGCTTTTGTTTTCTTAGGAAGTTTGTCGAATTGTGGAGTGGAGGCCGTACTAAAATATCCAAATTTGCTTGCACAATAAGCTGTCTTGCAATTTTTAAAATTCCCCTCAAACTGCAACCAAACAAAAAAGCAATCTTGCAAACTGACCCAAAATGCTTTACGTAACTCTAGAGAAACAACAACAAAAAAGAAGCCCATGACAAGAGAAAAAAGGAGGAAAAGGGTTAGCGGGTGCTCACCTCATCGACGGACATCGTCGGGTGTGGCGGGTGGTTATAAATACGCTGGAAGTAGCTGTTGGCCTCGTCGTCAATCTCTTTGCTAAAGTGCTGGTTTGCCTCTGGCCATACCTGAGATAAGTCAGCTGTGGGGGGAAAGGGGAAAGGCCATTAGTGGACCCACGGAAGGTGAGAAATAGGCACTCATTTCAATACATATGCTCAAACACCAAGGGAGAAGCAAACACTCCCATTAGGCCTCCTCACAATGCAGCCTTCATAGACAATTTGAGTTTCCTAACATAACCTCAAGAAAAGATGTCTGCATCTCTTGAACGCAGAGGAAAACCCATGTTGGGCCAGAGCAAAGGCTCAGGCCTTATTCATTCACACTCCAGTCACACAGGGGCTCCGCATTTGTCTGCAACAGCAGATCTCAACTTGTGGGTCGCGACCACTTTGGGGGTTGAACGACTGTTCACAAGGGGTCACCGCTTTGCCTCCTTTGGGTCTGAAAAGGGGCTCCTCCTCCTTCGTTGGCGGTGCATGATGGGAGAGGAGTCATGGAAAGGTGCTTGGAGGCAGAGGCACACGGTGGGACAAGGAAGACCTCCCTCTCGCTTTCTCCCCCTTTCCTTCTCTCCCCTTCCCCTTTTTCTTTCTCGCTCTTTCTCCCCTCTCCTTCTCTCTTGTTGTAATAATACTTTAATAATAATAATATTAATAATAAAATATAATAATACATTTTAATAGATATATAGCTGCTTTCAGTCTCCTTGTGGAGAGAAAAGGTGGGCATCAATAATAACAATAATACATTAATACTTGAATAATAATATACATTCTACTAATACTAATATATATATATAGTAGGGCTGGGCGGTTTCGTTTCGTAATTTCGTAATTCGTTAAAAATTCGTTATTTTTTTGTTACGAAGCGATAACGAACCATTCAGGAGCATCTAAAAAACGAAACGAATTTTTCAATTCGTTTCGTAATTGCTTCGTATTCGTTTCGAAATCGTTTCGAAATCGTTTCGTTATTATTTCCGCATGTCTGGGGCAAGTTTTATAGCTGTTGTTTGTTTAATCAGTGAAAAAAATTATAAATATCACACCAACAGTCAACAACAGAGGGAGAGGGAAGCTTCAGAAGTTCCCCCTGTCCCATTTGGAGGTTTTTTAGCGTATTGCGCGGTCGCGTCCGCCATTAACGAATCGATTCGTATTCGTTTCGTATTCGTTTCGTATTGTTTCGTAATTTTACGAAATTTCGTAAATATCGAACTTTTTTAAAGAAAAATTTTGGAATTCTTTTAAATATCGAAACGCAAAAAAACCCCAAAAAACGAATCGAGTTTAGAAACAATTTTTTCCGTTGTTACCCAGCCTACATTTACATTACACTTGAGAAAAGGTAGGGTACCAACAAAACTAATAATAATAATATAATAATAATGCATGAATACTACATGAATATAATAATAATACATTATAAAACGAATAGATACATAGCTGTTTTGAGTCCCCTTGTGGAGAGAAAAAACGGGGTATCAATAAACATAAATAATAATAATAATAATAATAATAATGCATCAGTCAGCAAATTCTGCAGGTTTAACCCGCTGTGCCACTGCAGACCCTTACGGGGAGGAAAGCGGAGTAAAAATAAAAGTTAACAATAATTATAACAATAATAAATACTTTTTTGGAGTTTCCTGGTTTTGAAAACTGGTGAGCAATACAGTCAATGGCTCTTTTGACTCGAGTTAAAAAGGCGCATAAGACGCACTGTAATTCTATGATGCGTCCCATTTTTAAAGAGATTAATGTAAGAGGAAAAGTGCATCTTAGAATGGAAGAAATACGGTAACAAGACAAAACCCACACTTCCCCAGCTCTGCCACCACCACCACCACCACCACCACTACCAGTGCCAGGAAGGGGCATTCATCCGTGTACCAGCCGCCCGCCCTGCAGTCAGACAACACCAACACCACTTACAAGGTTTCATCTTACTCTGCTGGAATGTCGGCTGGTTCAGTCCCGAGGTGCTCAGCTTCCGTGGCACGAAGGGGTCGTTGTTCACTGCCGGGAGGCCCAGGGCCCCGGTCCCGATCCCCAGGCTCCCCGTCGTAAGGCCGCCTACTGGGAAGAACACACACAGTAGTCACTTGTCCATTGGCACCTGCAACTGCGGCCTCTCGACTGTCCCCACTCCGAAGGGGACAAGGAGGCAATGCCTATATTGTACCCCATCATCCCCAGCAAGATGAATTCCCAGTAGAGAATCGCATCTCAGCCTATGAACCCACCAGAACTTTGAGATCTTCCGGGGAGGCCCTGCTCTTGATCCCGCCAGCTTCACAAGCACGGCTGGCGGGGACGAGAGACAGGGCCTTCTCGGTGGTGGCTGCCCGGCTGTGGAATGCCCTTCCCACAGATATTAGATTAGCACCATCTCTAATGGTCTTCCGCAAAAAAGTAAAGACCTGGTTATTTGTGCAGGTGTTCGAATAATTAGTGCAAAGACTGGCAATGACATAGGAATGGAACAATGGATGATGAACCTGGATCATGTTTTTAGTGACGAGACGCCAGTGAATGGTTATCGTAGTAATTGTGTATTAATTGTATATTAGATTCGGTAGTTAACTGTTTTATATCGGTGTTGAATTCTGCTGTGTTCTGTGTCTTGTGAACCGCTGTGAGTCGCCTTTGGGCTGAGAACAGCGGTATAGAAGCAAAGTAAGTAAATAAATAAATAATAGAGTCATGGGTTGAACTCTTGTGTGGGCAGGACTGCTGACCTAAAGGTCGGCGGTTCAAATCTGGGGAGCGGGGTGAGCTCCCGTCTGTCAGCTCCAGCTTCCCTTGCGGGGACATGAGAGAAACCTCCCACAGAATGATAAAACATCCGGGCAACATCCCCGGGGCAACATCCTTGCAGATGGCCAAGTCTCAAGCTGCTCCTGAACATATATAAACAATTTATATATTTTATTATATTATAATTTTTAATAATAATTATAGATTTATTTTATTTTCTATTTTTATATATATATTTATATTTTATATTTATATTTTTATTTATTTTTTATTTTTATAATTATATATAATTAAATATAAATTCTTATATATTATAATAATTTAATTAATTGTATTTTCACTTTATATCTTTATTTTTTATAACGGTTTATTTTGATATAAGTATTTTATTCTACGCATTTAGTGGACAGAATTAGGAAGGACTCTGGATCCAAGTCTCAGTATTTTGTGTTCCCCCAAAACCGACATATCAAAAGGTCAGAATGCACTTAAGGAGAGCGAGGCCTCTCCAACGCCAATACCTGGAAGTTGAGAAGAGAGTCCGCCGATCCCACTAAAAGGAGTATTCTGGTTTTGTGTGGAAAGCGGTGGAAACGCCTTTGCGGGCGACTGAGGAGTGCTGAAAGCGGAGCTCAAGTTGGGAGGGAAGCCCGGCATGCTTTGCGTGTGCGGGACCGCCGAGGTGCCCAAGCTGAGAGAGGCCATCCCGGCCGCCAGGGGGTCAATCTGGGGAGAAACCAAGATTAAACACAGGCGGCAACAAGCTCGCGCTTGCATGCTCAGACAAGACGGGACCGGAAGCCACACATCATGCCATGGTGGCGAGGTGCCACTCAAAGTCCTATTCCCGACGCATTTTCCAATTAATAATAATCATAATCATAAACTTTATTTATACCCCACCACCATTTCCCTGATGGGGACTCGGAGCGGCTTACATGGGGCCAAACCCAGACAACATATTACAGCAATAAAATCAAAACATAAACAACAAACAAACAACAACAACATCAAAGTACATTAATAATAACAAAAAAAGCAGTCTTAAAATAACATTCTAATGAATGCAATCATGATCACGATAACGATAACAATGGGTGGGCCACACGTACAGGATAAAACAATTTAAAAACTGTGATGAGATAAAAAAAGGAGCAAGACATTTACGGGATTTATGAGGTTGAACTTCCCATTTGGGGGGAAGAGAGTTGAGGGGTGCAAAATGTCATGGTGTGCACCTACTCAACAAAGGCACAGCGGAGGAGCCGGGTTTTAAGGTCCTTTTTAAATGTTTCTAGTGAAGGGGCTTTCCTGATCTCCAGGTAAAGAGTTCCAAAGTTGGCGAGCCACCGAGGAGAAGGCTCTCTCCCTTGTACCCACAAGATGGGCTTGTGAGACGGGCTTCCCTTTTAAGTTATCTGGGTCCTGCTAATCCAGATTCAGTTTAAAAACCCAGATTCTAGGCCAGTGCTTCCCAACTTGTGGTCCGTAAGAACAAAAATATGGTCCGCAGCCTCACCATTACTACACTGTTGCCTTGAAACCGCGAGGAATCATCAAAGGCCACTTGAAGTGACCACTGAAAATACTTTCGGGGGACAAGCGCTTTGCCCTATTCAGCCCGGAAGGGAGGCTGGAAGGGAGGGAGATGTGCCTTGTTCTTAAAGGAGCATTTCAGTTCAGATCTGAAGTTCCCCAGCTATAACAAGGGTTGGTTGTAATCTCGCACTGTGGCTTGGCCCGAGAAGCTACAGAAGACACGTCAGGTTCAAAGACAGTGCTGAAAACATGAAGGCCTGGCCTTTATCAGGTATGGAAGTCAGGACTGGCGTCTTTTGCACTGACTGGAATTGAGAAGGTGAGGAGAGCCACCTACCTGGACAGGAGAGATGGCATCTAGGCTGCTGGCACTGGGCGGGCGTCCCTTGGGCATGACTCCGGGGGGAGGCTGCCGGGCCTTGTTCATGACGTTGCTGCAGTTGGCGACCATCGTGAGAATCGTTTCCGACAGCTCTTGAGACACACTTCTGCACGATGGGGGTGAAAACAACACTATTTCAACTTACTATACATCAGGCAGGGGCCAACTTCTGGCCTCCTTCCAGGTGTTTTGGACTACCAGCTGTTAGGAATTGTGGGAGTTGCAGTCCAAAACACCTAAGGAAAGCCCAAAGTTGGCTCATGCATGGACAGATATTTTAACATAGTTTTTTTCTCAATGCACAGTTTTTGCCAAAGGTTTTCTGTACAAGAGCTATAAAAATTATTTAAAATCGTCTCATTGTGCCTTGTCTATATATATTGTTGTTTCATTGTATTTATCACAGCCTTTATTGGCATATAACAACTAAACCGCAGCACAGGCCTATACAACAAGAGGAAGCCAAAGATAAAAATGGTAAAGCAAATTGAGAGTTACGAGGATGAGGAGGATGATGGGTTACAGATTTCTGTACATGCTTCAGAGAGGGCTGACGGTGGGGCTGCTGAAGGAGAAACAGCAAGTCAGTTCTCAGGGGAAAGTGAGACTGATAACGAGTGAAATCCCACACAGCCAGGTGGAGACGTCTTTTCCTCCCCACTGTGATCCGGTCCAGCTGGAGCAAGATAAGGGGTTACATAGACTTGAAGATAATGAATTAATGAGCAGACAAGATCGTCTGCAATTAAGGCTCCGGAGAAGCACTCGTTTGTCTAGCAAGCGAGAAGCCAAGGGTGCCAAAGGTCAACGCAATGTGTTCATGTCCGCAAAGGGTATTTAGCCTTGTAGCTGACAAGCAGGGGCTGTCAGTCCAACGTAGCTCTTCCCATGCAAACTTCTGTGGATTAACTTTGGCTTTTAGCTGCATGCTTCTGGCTTCTTGAGTCTGGGATTTGGGCCTTGTTTTCAACTGTTTACCATGGACTCTTGTTTGACCATTGCTAAAGGATTATGCTTCATGTTTTTGCCTTTGGATCTGGGGAACTTTGTCTTTGCGTTTAAGCCTTTGTATTTCCCACCCAAACTCAACTCTGCTTACCCAGCGCAGGCTTGAAGACAAGCCAACATCGTGGCCAGAGTCTCGGGCGGAAGCTGGGCACTTTTGGGCTGGTCTTTCTCTGGGACCAGGCCGCCCAAGATGGAGGGGCACCTCCTCTTGAGGAAGGTCATGCAGGCCTGGATGAAGGGCTCCTAAGGAAGCGGAAACACACGTCGTCTCAGGGAGGCTGAGCAGATAAAGCCAATGCATTCCAAGTTGAGAAAGGGACAAGGCATTCAGTACATACTCATGGAGGACTGGTTAAAGGACCCTTGGCACAGATACCACAATCCCCAGAGACTCCAGTCCCCAATGATTATTTATGATTATTTTCTTTCCACAAAGGAGACTCAAAGCAGCTTACACTAAAAACATTTCAATACAACTCAAAATATACAAATATAAAAACAGACATCAGGGAAAGTGGCTCCCCGGCCTCTGCTAAACCTCAGATTAACTATTTATTTGTTTGCTATATTTGTATACTGCTTTTCTCAGCCCACGGGAGACTCAAAGGTATTTTTAATTACAAAAGTGTGAATCAAGCACTGAAAGAATGAGTAGGCTGAAGCCTGTGAGTCGGTGGGCCAAAGCTAGTGTCGTCCTGAGGAGCCTGAGTAGGCCGAAGCCTGTTATAGTAGGTGGAGAGCGTGTAGGTTGAAGCCTGTGAGTCAGTGGGCCAAATCTGGTGTCGTCCTGAGGAGAGTGAGTAGGCCGAAGCCTGCTAAGAGTCATTAGGACAAAGCTAATCTTGTCCTCAGAAAAATTAGTAGGCCGAAGCCTGTTAAAGGCAGTGGGCCAAAACAAGTGTCGTCCTGAGGAGAGTGAGTAGGCCAAAGCCTGTTAGAGTTAGCACTCCAAAGCTAGTGTCACCTTGAAGAGAGTGAGTAGGCCGAAGCCTGTTAAGAGCAGGCAGAGAGTGAGTAGGCCGAAGCCTGGAGTCAGTGGGCCAAAGCTAGTGTCGTCCTGAGGAGAGTGAGTAGGCCGAAGCCTGGAGTCAGTGGGCCAAAGCTAGTGTCACCTTGAAGAGAGTGAGTACGCTGAGGCCTGTTAGTGTAGGTGGAGAGTGAGTAAGTTGAAACCTGGAGTCAGTGGGCCAAATCTAGTGTCGTCCTGAGGAGAATGAGTAGGCCGAAGTCTTCCAGAGTAGGTGGAGAGTGAGTAGGCCGAAGCCTGGAGTCAGTGGGCCAAATCTAGTGTCGTCCTGAGGAGAATGAGTAGGCTGAAGTCTGCCAGAGTAGGTGGAGAGTGAGTAGGCTGAAGCCTGGAGTCAGTGTGCCAAAGCTAGTGTCATCCTGAGGAGAATGAGTAGGCTGAAGTCTACCAGAGTAGGTGGAGAGTGAGTAGATTGAAGCCTGGAGTCAGTGTGCCAAAGCTAGTGTCATCCTGAGGAGAATGAGTAGGCTGAAGTCTGCCAGAGTAGGTGGAGAGTGAGTAGGTTGAAGCCTGGAGTCAGTGTGCCAAAGCTAGCTTCTTAGTGAGGAAACAGCTGAAGTCTGTTAGAGTAGGTGGAGAGTGAGTAGGCTGAAGCCTCTAGTCAGTGGGCCACATCTAGTGTCAACCTGAAGAGAGCAAGTTGGCCAAAGCCTGTTAAGAGTTAGTGGACCAAAGTTAGTGTCACCTTGAAGAGAGAGTAGGCCGAAGCCTGTTAGAGTTAGTGGACCAAAGCTAGTGTCACCTTGAAGAGAGTGAGTAGGCTGAAGCCTGTTAGTCAGTGGGCCAAATCTAGTGTCGTCCTGAGGAGATTGAGTAGGCTGAAGCCTGTTAGAGTAGGTGAAGAGTGAGTAGGTTGAAACCTGTTAGTCAGTGGGCCAAATCTAATGTCGTCCTGAGGAGAGTGAGTAGGCTGAAGCCTACTAGGGTAGGTGGAGAGTGAGTAGGTTGAAGCCTGTTAGTCACTGAGCCAAATCTAGTGTCGTCCTGAGGAGAGTGAGTAGGCCGAAGCCTGTTAGAGTAGGTGGAGAGTGAGTAGGCCGAAGCCTGGAGTCAGTGGGCCAAATCTAGTGTCCTCCTGAGGAGAGTGAGTAGGCCGAAGCCTGTTAGAGTAGGTGGAGAGTGAGTAGGCCAAAGCCTGTTAAGAGTTAGTGGACCAAAGCTAGTGTCACCTTGAAGAGAGTGAGTAGGYCGAAGCCTGTTATTTAGTGGACCAAAGCTAGTGTCACCTTGAAGAGAATGAATAGGCCGAAGCCTGTTAGTTAGTGGACCAATGCTATTGTCACCTTGAAGAGAGTGAGTAGGCTGAAGCCTGTTAGAGTTAGTGGACCAATGCTAGTGTCACCTTGAAGAGAGTGAGTAGGCTGAAGCCTGTTAGTCAGTGGGCCAAATCTAGTGTCGTCCTGAGGAGAGTGAGTAGGCTGAAGCCTGTTATGAGTAGGTGGAGTGTGAGTAGGCCRAAGCCTCGAGTCAGTGGGCCAAAGCTAGTGTCCTCCTGAGTAGAGAGAGTAGGTTGAAGCCTGTTAAGAGTCAGTGAGCAAAGCTAGAGTTGTCCTGAGGAGAGTGAGTAGGCTGAAGCCTGTTAGAGTTACTGGGCCAAAGCCAGTGTTGTCCTGAGAAGTGTGAGGTAAACCTCAGTGTGAGAGAAGCCTTGTGTGAGAAAACTCCAGTGTGAAGGCTGCTGTGTGTAAACCTACTGTGTATTTGTTTATTTGGATTATGGAAACCTTATTTTTGTAAATAATGCAACCATAGATTCCTCTACGTTGCTGGGGCCAGTGGTACAACTTCAAGAGCACATGCACAAAACACTATTTTAATGGCTTTTCCCACCCAAAAGAAGTTGCAAACAAGACAGTTAAGACACGCCTGCTTTACCCCGTGTTCCCGGATCTTATCTGTGAGCCACTTGTCTAGTTTGAGGTATTCCCGTCGGGAGGCAAGTGCAGCAAGGTCAATTACAAAGGCAAATGGAGTACCGTTTAGCAGCATGGACAAGGCCTGGAGGGGGAAAGGGAGAAAGAGGGCTCGTCAGAGGAGGAGGAGGCGGCAGGAGACAGTGCGCAAGGGACGTTTCTGAACATCCCTTCAGAGCAGGACACAAAGAGAAGCCGGCCATTCGCTCCCAAGGACTGGAGCTTCCCTCCGGGCTTGGCTTCTCCCTTCAACTCCACTTGCTCATTGTGCTCAATACACGGGGACAAGTTACTGAACATACTCAAGTATAAGCCTAGTTTTTCAGCCCATTTTTATTACTTTACTCTGTTGATATTATTATTATATTTATTATTTAACTCTATTTATTATTATCATTAATACATTTATCATTTTACTCTATTATTTTTACATTTATTATTTTACTTTAATATTACTGTTATTATTACATTTCCACTATTCTACTCTTTTATTATTATTATTTATTACATTTATCATTTTACTCTATTATTATTACATTTATTATTTTACTCTCATTATTATTACATTTATTATTTTACTTTATTATTGCTGTTATTTCCACTATTTTTACTATTATATTATTTTATTACATTTATCATTTTACTCTATTATTATTACATTTATTATTTTACTTTGTTATTGTTGCTATTATTACATTTATTATTTTACTCTCATTATCATTACATTTATTATTTTACTTTATTATTGCTGTTATTACATTTCCACTATTTTTACTATTTTATTATTTTTATTACATTCATCATTTTACTATATTATTGTTTTACTTTGTTATTGTTGCTATTATTACATTTATTATTTTACTCTCACTAATTATTTTACTCTACTTATTATTACATTTATTATTTTACTTTATTATTGCTATTACATTTCCACCATTTTTACTATTTTATTATTTTATTCTATTTATCATTTTACTCTATTATTACACTTACTATTTTACTCTATTATTGCTGTTATTACATTTCCACTATTTTACTCTTTTATTATTATTTTTATTACATTTATCATTTTACTCTACTTATTATTATTATTATTACATTTATTATTTTACTTTATTATTGCTGTTATTATTACATTTCCACTATTTTACTCTTTTATTATTTTTATTATAATGGTTATTTTACTCTACTGTTATTGTTAGAAGGATATGTAAGCACATTTCCATTGAAGGAGGTTAGAATAATGGTTTAATCAGAGTTGAGGAGTATTATATTTGGGTTGGCTTATACTCGAGTATATATGGTAGTAAGCATGCATCTCCGCATTAGTGCCAACTTCAGTTCAATGTGACCCTCTGGCATTGGGATAGAAAGGCTGACCCAGTGGAGCCTAGACAAAGCGGCGCAATGACCATTCCCTAGAACCCAAACCCTATAGATAGACCCACCTTCAAGTCTTGGGCCACGTCTAAAATGCGTGATAATTTTGCTTGGTCGTACTGTTCCCCTCTCATGTACCATTCCGCCATGGCATGCATGATGAGTTGGCGAATTGAAGGAGACTGGCCCTAAAAGGGGGGGAAAAATATTTATTATTTATTTACTTTGCTTCTATACCGCTGTATCTCAAGCCCGAAGGCGACTCACGGCGGTTCACAAACAGTAAAAACAGTAGAAACAGCAGTGGTTCCATACAACATATAACAATTGACTTAACACATTATCCATAAATTACCAATAAGCAGTTACAATGCACAATTATTACAAAAAACAACCGTACCCAATCTTCTCATCATCCAAGCGTAGTCCAGGTTCGTCGTCCATTGTTCCATTCCTATGTTCCATTACCAGATTGCACTAAATTACTCAAACGCCTGCGCAAACATCCAGGTCTTCACCTTTTTGCGGAATACCATTAGAGATGGTGCTAGTCTAATGTCCGTAGGAAGGGCGTTCCACAGCCGAGGAGCCACCACCGAGAAGGCCCTATCTCTCGTCCCCGCCAGCCGAGCTTGAGAAGCAGGCGGGATCGAGAGCAGGGTCTCCCCGGAAGATCTCAAACTCCTGGTGGGTTCATAGGCAGAGATGCGGTCAGATAGGTAGCTTGGGCCGGAACCGTTTAGGGCTTTAAAGGCCAACGCCAGCACTTTGAATTCAGCCCGGTAGCAGATCGGTAGCCAGTGGAGTTGGCGCAACAGGGGGGTTGTATGCTCCCTGCGCTCCGCTCCTGTTAAAATCATGGCTGCCGAGCGTTGGACTAGTTGGAGCTTCCGAGCTGTCTTCAAAGGCAACCCCACATAGAGAGCGTTGCAGTAGTCTAAACGGGATGTAACCAGAGCGTGGACTACCGTGGCCAAGTCAGACTTCCCAAGGTACGGGCGCAGCTGGCGCACGAGCCGAAGCTGTGCAAATGCTCCTCTGGAAACCGCTGAAACTTGGGGTTCCAAGCTTAGCGAAGAATCCAGGGTCACACCCAAGCTGCGAACCTGCGTCTTCAGGGGGAGTGCGACCCCATCCAACACAGGCTGTAACCCTATGCCCTGTTCGGCCTTACGACTAACCAGGAGTACCTCTGTCTTGTCTGGATTCAATTTCAATTTGTTCGCCCTCATCCAGACCGTCACAGCGGCCAAGCACCGGTTCAGGACCTGGACAGCCTCCTTAGTAGCAGGTGGAAAGGAGTTACAGAGTTGGACATCATCCGCGTACAGATGACACCGTACCCCAAAACTCCGGATGATCTCCCCCAGCGGCTTCATGTAGATGTTAAACAACATGGGAGACAATATTGAGCCCTGAGGAACCCCACAAGACAATGGTTGTGGGGTTGAACAGGTGTCCCCCAACAACACCTTCTGAGATCGACCCTCCAGGAATGACCGGAGCCACTGCAAAACAGTACCTCCAAGACCCATCCCCGCGAGGCGTCCCAGAAGGATACCGTGGTCGACGGTATCGAAGGCCGCTGAGAGGTCCAGCAGCACCAACAGGGACACACTCCCCCTGTCGAGCTCCCGGCGCAGATCATCCACTAAGGCGACCAAGGCTGTCTCGGTACCATGTCCCAGCCTATATGTGTTGTTGTTGTTGTTGTGTGCCTTCAATATCTATTTATTTACTATATTTATATACCGCCTTTCTTAGCCCGAAAGGCAACTCAAGGTGGTTTACAGTCGACACAATTTGATGCCCCCAACAACATAAAATACAATTTAGCAAATAATATATAACAAAATATAATAATATAAACAAAAATAATGTAATAACAATAATAACAACTACAGTCGGCACAATTTGATGCCCCCAACAAGATAAAATACAATTGAGCAAATAATATATAACAAAATATAATAATATAAATAAAATAAATGATAATAACGTAATAACAATAATAACTACAGTCGGCACAATTTGATGCCCCCAACAAGATAAAATACAATTGAGCAAATAATATAAACAAAATATAATAATATAAATAATATAAATAATATAAATAATAATAATGTAATAATAATAACTCAGCACAATTCGATACCCCCAACAAGATAAAATACAACTCAGCAAACAATATATAACAAATTATAACAATATAAATAATATAAACAATAATAATGTAATAATAATAATAACTACAGTCGGCACAATTCGATGCCCCCAACAAGATAAAATACAACTCAGCAAATAATATAAACAAAATATAATAATATAAGTAATATAAACAATAATAATGTAATAATAATAATAATAATAATAATAATAATAACTAGCCCCCAACAACATAAAATACAACTCAACAAATAATAGATAACAAAATAAAATAATATAAATAATATATGCACACACAAAACACATATACACAGACTGGGCCAGAGTAACGTGTGTGGCAGGCGACGGCTAGTAATACGAAATAATGAAAAGTAACAATAGGAAATTCACAACAAAGAAATTAAGCATCAAAATAAAACAAAAACAAAAACAATCCATTAAGACAGAACAACTAAAACGTAAATAAACATTGCAATGTACACCCTCAAAACCAATTATGAGACATTACATTAAAAACGGCTGACAACGGTGTTACACTCAAGACGTATCATTACGGCCATCTAATGTGTGTAGATCAGCCAGCAATCTTAATACTCCTTTCCGTATGCTAGAAATTGTGGGAGTTGTAGGCCAAAACCCCTGGAGGGCCAAAGTTTGCCCATGTGAACAAACTCCTATCCCATCCATTTCTCATGAGAGGCACGTAAATGGGGACTCGACGTCAGCACCGCCCTTACCTGCCCGTGCCAGGCATAATGCAAGATGATGGCGGAGTTGGGGTGGTTGCCAAGGAAGATAGGCATCAGCGTGGAGATGAGTTCGTGGCGCAAGGTGTGCCAGGAGGTGTTGATCTGCAGGAGGGCCAAGACCAGCATGTCGGGGCAATGCTTGATGGGGAAGCTGAAGAGCTGCTTCACCTGCTCGTACTGGCCCACCTCCGCCAGGCGCAGCAGGGACTCAATCAAGTCCAGGCTCTTCCTAGAGAGGGAAAGAAGGCCCAGAACATCAGAGGGATGCCTTGGGGTGTCCTAAAAGGCAATCCAATGGCACACTTCAAAATATATACAAGCTTTCAGCCACATCTTTCTGTGTGTCACCAGTTAGGACATCATAGCCCCGAGGTGTTTTTATACCCAGGTAGGTAGCACTCCTATAAAGTTCTGGAGAGACTTATTTTGCATAGAATTACGGAAAAAATAGACCCCTGTCTGATCCCACAGCAAGCTGGCTTCAGGAAAGGCAAAAGCTGCACATCGCAAGTGCTGAACCTGACTCAGCACAGAGAAGATGGCTATGAAAGGCAGCAGATCACAGGCGCTGTCTTCATAGACCTGTCAGCAGCCTATGAGACTGTGAACCACCACCGCCTCCTCCTGAGAAAAATGTATAGTATCACAAAGGACAACCACCTGACCCGCCTCATAGGAAACCTGCTACACAACAGGAGCTTCTTTGTTGAGTTCCAGGGCCAGAGAAGCCGATGGCGGAAACAGAAGAATGGCCTGCCTCAGGGAAGCGTGCTTGCTCCATCCGTGTTCAACATCTACACAAATGACCAGCCACTGTCAGAAGGGACAGAGAGCTTCATCTACACTGATGATTGTGCCATCACTACTCAAGCAGGGAGCTTTGAGATGGTTGAACAGAAGCTCTCCAAAGCTATAGGTGATCTTACTGCCTATTACAGGGGAGACCAGCTGATTCTAAAACAACATAAAATACAACTCAACAAATAATAGATAACAAAATAAAATAATATAAATAATATAAACAACAATATTCTATGCCTTTCCTCTTAAGAACAGACAAGCATATTGAATTCTGAAGATGACCTAGGAAAGAATCCCACTGGAGCATTGCAGCACACCCAAGTATCTGGGAGTAACTCGGGACCGTTCTTTGACCTACAAGAAGCACTGCCTGAATATCAAGCAAAAAAGTGGGTGCTAGAAATAATATAGTGTGAAAGCTGACTGGCACAGCCTGGGGATCACAACCAGACACAAGATTAGAGAAGTTCCTAGAGCTGCTGAGCGCAGAAAAAGGAACTAAGGTGCAATCCCCGCCAGGAGCATTTATAGTATTGGGGAGAGTGGGTGGGGCCTCCGCCAAAATGTTTAAGATTCTAGAAGGTTACGAAACAACTGCGCATGCGCAGGATAAAACCCATATGTGCATCTTTCACAGACGAAGAGGAAATCTCTGCCTCTGCCTAGCTCAGTGGCTGAGACCGGTGGGCACACAGAAAACAGGATGACTTGGAAGGCGCTGAACAGAATGTGCTCTGGCACCACGAGATGCAGAGCCAACCTTAAGAAATGAGGCCACAAAGTGGAGTCCTCGAAATGTGGGTGTGGAGAAGAGCAAAACACAGACTACTGACTACAATGCAACCTGATTCCTGCCACATGCACAATGGAGGACATTCTTGCGGCAACACCAGAGGCACTCCAAGTGGCCAAGCTACTGGTCAAAGGACACTTAGCATCATGCCAAGCTATTAAACTGTGTTTTTAAGTACTTGTTAAGTGTACCCTCAACTTGCTTCTGACACAACAAATAAATAAGCCAAAACCATCTTAAATATATACAGTCGAAGGAATACTCCAACCCAAGTGGCCCATCCTTGCGACATCTCCTCGCTTGGCTAAGAGGATTACTTAGAGACACAGGTCTTCCTCTCAAACGGCTGTCAGAAGGCATTTCCTTGAGTAGAGAAGCCACTGCGTTTGAGATACTTCTACATATGCACAAACTTCTCAATATAAGCACTCTTGAGGAAAGTCATGCCGCTTACCACGTGGCAATTTCTCGATTGTCATCCTCAGGTGGTGCTTTCAAGATATCCGTGGCAACCGTGTGACAGGGGTAGTCGGCAAAACAGAAAATCTCCGGGTTGATGAGGGAATGCTGGATAAACGAGAGCTGCAAAAAGTAAAAGAATGGATTCATCAGCCAGGGAGATTTCATGTTTTATCCACTGAATCCAAAATGTCCCAACTCACATTCTTAGGCAAGCCTATCGCTTCTCCATCTAACTTCTAGACCAGGCCTGGGTAAACTTTCTAACTTGGGGGACACATGCTAGCACTCCCTGCTAAGAGGCCTGGCTGCCCAGGGATGGAAGGAAGGAAGGGAAGGAAGGAAGGAAGGGAAAGGAAGAAGGAGGAAGGAAAAAAGGAAAGAAAAAGGGAAGGAAGGAAGGGAAGAGGAAGAGAAGGAAGGAAAGAAGGAGAGAATGAAGAAGAAGAAGAGAAGGGAAGGAAGGAAGAAGGAGGAAGGAGAAGGAAGGAAGGAAGGAGAGAAAGAAAGAGGGAAAGGAGGAGGGAAGGAGGAAGAGAAAGAAGAGAAAGAAAGGAAGAAGGAAAGAAGGAGGGAGGAAGGAAAGAGGGAAGGAAGGAGAAGGGAGGAAGGAGGAAGGGAAGGATGGAATGAAAGGAAAGAAGAGAGAGGGAAAGGAAGAAAAGAGGGAGGAAAGAAAGGAGAAAGAGGGAAGAGGAAAGAAGAGGAAAGAAGGAAGGAAGGAAGGAAGGAAGGAAGGAAGGAAGGTGAAAGAGGAAGAGAAGGGAGGGAGGGTGGCAAGGAGGAAGGAAAGAGAGAAGGAAGGAAGGAAGGAAGGAAGGAGAAAGGAGAAGGAGAAAGAGGGAGAGGAGAAGGAAAGAGGGAAGGAAGGAAGAACAAAAGGAAAGGGAGGGAAGGAAGGAAAGGATAAAGGAAAGAGAGAAGAAAAGAAAGACAAAAGAGAAGGAAGGGAGGGAGGGAGGGAGGATGGATAAAAGGGTGGAAGAGAAGGATGGAAGAGGGAGAAGGGAGGGGGGCAAGGAGGAGGAAAGAGAGAAGGAAGGATAGACAAAAAAGGAGGAAAGGACAAAAGGGTGGAAGGGAAGGATGGATGGATGGAAAAAGAGAACGAAGGAATGACGAAAGGAAGGGTAGGATGGTGAGAGAGAGAGGAGGGCCTGAGAAAAGAGCCCAAGGGGCTGCATCTGCCTGGATTTGCCCATAGCTTTGGGCTAATTCTCCCATCAGGAATGGGTTCCCCAAGAGAGGCCATGCATGTCAGATCAGATAGTTAAAGGAGGACATCCCTCGTGCCCCCTCCCCCTGAGTTTCCGTCCATTTGTGCTGCCCTGCAATGAGAATTCCTGACTTAAGTGACCCCTCCCCTTCTTCATAGGCAGGTAACACACACGGAAAGTTTTACCTGGCCTTCTGCGTGTTTCCAAGGCCTGTAGATGAGGTCAACAGGGAAGACCTCCAATCCCAGCCCTCGCTGGACACCGTACACCACAATCTGCAAGCCCTTGCTGTCACGGATCTGAAACCCTGGATGGTCCAGTTCGTACGTCACCTCCTTGAAGTTCAAGGCTGGGTTCTGCAGAGAGCAAGAGCGCACCGTAATGTAGACACATATACATCAGAACCCACTGCCACGTGAATTTCCTAAGAGCAACCTTGAATGTATCTGTATTTATGCAATTCTAATGCTCACCTTTTTTGGTCTAAATTACCGTTCCAAAATTAGGGTGTGCATTAGATTCGCATAATATAGTAATCTTAATTCTCAGCCAAAGCAAAAGGGGAAGTTTTTGAAGCTCCTATTTGAGGGACGTCACTTCTAATTTAATGGCCCCGGCTCAATGCGATGGGATCCTGGGATTTGTAGTTTGCTGAGGCATCCGGACTCTTTGGTAGAGTAAAACTACATGTTTTCATACCATGGAGCCAGGGCAATTAAAGTGGGTTCATTCTACAGCTGAGATGCACCCCAAGGCTTTCCTTTCAATTGCTGGAAACTTTGGCATTCCAACCCTTTGTTTTTTTGTGTGTATTTTTTTACTTTTTTAAATTTTTATTTAAGTAGACATATATTTGCATTCCAACCCTTTGTTTTTCTGTGTGTTTTTTTACTTTTTAAAATTTTTATTTTGCATTCCAATCCTTTGTTTTTTGTGTATTTTTTTACTTTTTAAAATTTTTTATTTTGCATTCCAATCCTTTGTTTTTTGTGTATTTTTTACTTTTAATTTTTTTTATTTAAGTAGACATACATTTGCATTCCAACCCTTTGCTTTTCTGTGTTTTTTTTTTACTTTTTAAAATTTTTATTTAAGTAGACATACATTTGCAAGTGTTTGTTGCATACAGTGCTATACTTTCTATCTATTAATCTTCCATAATCATTTAACTGATAGTATATTTCCTTTAAGGGGTCACAGTCTACTATCTAAATAATACATATAAAAACATCATAGACGCTTGCTTTACATCCGCTTCCTCCTTGTCTACAATCTAGGAGTCCGAAGTAGACAGCAACTGAAATGAACACCTTTTGTGGCCAAATGATAAAGAGTGTACTCTTTGCCACCGCGCATTACATTCTCCAGCATATACCTTTTTTGGTTTCAGATCGTTGCAAGTTGAGGTCCGCATTAGATTCAATGGCACATAAGACTTGAGGAAATATGGATATCTCGGGCTTCCTTTGTAGAGGTTACATCCCTTCAGGAAACCCACCCTCTGTGAAGCAGCCCCCTTTCTGGCTCTCCATCCCCCTCCCAAGTCCAAGAAGAGGGCCAACGTACCAGCTCCTTCAGCACATCAATCAGGACCTCCACATTCCACGTGTGGGTTTGGGCGCCATCGTTCTTATCTCTCCCGTCACTCCAGATCCCACTTCCCGGAGCAGAGATGGACTGCGAGGCAAACGTTTGGGCAAAGAGTTTAGGATATCAAACGGTGTCAATTTCTTTTTTAAAAAATAGTTTTTATTTATTTTTGACAGGAAAGAAAAAGGGAATCTCAGGGTGTGGATTTTGGGGAAAAGGGGGGTGGAACGTTTGGGGAACGGGAAGGAATACTATGTAGGGAGGGAAAAAATAAAAAGGGAGATCCCTATTGCTAAAAGGGAGAAAAAAATTGAGGTAGAAAAATTTAGGAAAACTGGGTCGGGAAGGCAAAAAAATGGGAAAAAATAATGAGAAAGTAGAACTTGAAAAAGAAAAAAGGTAAATAAATAAATAAAAATAAAAAGTTGTTGGTTGTTGACTTCCAAGGTTGTTAAAACTTTTAATTATTAATTATAATTCTTCTCGACGTAGAAC